AGAAATATGTGGAAGAAAAGTTGGCCCGATCTTGTAATTTTTCGGGTACGCAATCTACATACAAGGCACTGACAAGCCGTTGGGTTGGATTGCAAATTGGATGCAGATACGACAGTATGGGAGAAGCCAGATAAATAAGACAAATCCGTAGTATAAAGTTAAATAAAATGTGAAGGAGTGTAAGAAGCAATACAAAGCAAATGAATAAAGTGTCTATTTATGCCGACTATGAAATGACTATCCGACTAATTTGCAGTCATATCCCCACGTGTAGACCAAAACATCTGAGATGAGAGCAACATATCACATAATGCTGAGGAGCTAAAAGAACATCCTTTTCCAGGTCCGCGCAGGTTACGAAAGACAAGGAGCCAATCATAAGGATTTAATAAAGCCGCACAATTAGGAGGAAGCATCAAAAGTTGGTAAAATTTGCCAAAGCCAAATGAGGTAACTAGGCTTTTTGCGAAAATTTCACACAATATTAGTGTAGAAGTTGTTTGACCTTGCTTTCGAAACTTGGTCATATTGGTAGGAAGATTTAGAGAAACGCACCTTGTCCTGAGTCCAATGTATGCATAATTATTTCCAAAGTCGGACCGTCGACGCGGTTCATTCCCAAACGTTTCGCCGGCATCGTCAGTGAGTCTCGTCATTCGTAGCACCATATTACAACTCGTCAAATTGACAAGTGAAGCCCATCCTTCGACCAAACGTGTGCTAAACAGTTATGGTATCTCGCTTTTTACCCTGGTCTATTTAGAGCTAGCTCCAATCACCGCCTCGTCTATCCTGTCTATTCCTAAAGAACCATCAAAATCTTTCCGGGTTGGCTTGGTCTTGCTCTATCTTATTATCGCATAGCTAAGCAATTTTGATGGTTCTTTAGGAATAGAAACAGGATAGACGAGGCGGCGATTGGAGCTAGCTGGCTGACAGTAGGTTTTACAAGAGACGTGCTCCATGTGGCAAAGGCGTGACCATGAGACTTACTCTGAGGCTTGAGCCTCCAATTAGTCACCCAGGTGCAAGTGATGGACGAATTACGTCTCGGATAGCAGAGATGGGGGGCAGGGTTCGAGTGAAATACATGTACCAGGAAGATAGCAGACGGATTCGATGGGGCAAGGAGACTTGTAGGACCCAGAGAAGGACTACGTGACAATATGACAGACTGGTAAATATTCCCATCACAAGGCTGAAGGGGGTGATAACGACAGTGTAGAGTGTGAAGGGTTTTCATGGATGCCGCTCGAAGTGGCACACGACACTACATTAAGAATAAGCACCGTAAAAAAACGGTGACAGGGAAGGCATGATAGGAGGATATAGGAAATGTGAATAGGCCAGGGAAGAATCATCAAAGGTTGGCAAAACTTGCCAGAGCCAAATGAGGTAGCTAGGCTATTTGCAAAAAGTTCAAACATAATATTAGTCTTTTTACAGATGCCAGGAAATTGTATAACAAAATTCCCTAGGGCCAAACAAGCTATTAGGTGTAATATGAACGTCTCATTGTAATCGGGGCTTCGATCAATAGTGGTCCGATAGGCGGATATGGTAAATTAGCTGATCGCAAAGGAGGAATGAGAGGATTTTATTGGACATTCTGCGAGGTCTGCCTTTTAGTTGTCCA